CAACACCAATACGTGAGGCGCTAACCTCATTTCCGGATTGTTCTGAAATGTTATACGAACAACCTTTTCTAATTGATGTTATCTCAATTTATTCACGCGCGTCTAAATTTCTAAACAGCTGGAACATTGTCAATACACTTACAATGCCTCATAACTTGTACTACTGTTACTTCCAGTCTTTACAGACATGGCATTAATCCTGAAGCTAACGAGTTGATCGGAATGTTGGAACATCATCTCTAATCTCTAAATGATTTGACGCTACATGTTTATCTGTCATGACCGCATCCTGCCAGGTAAAGCGGATACGACCTTGTCTGTGTTATCAAACTTATCAAATATTAGAAGTCACATATCTTCGCTACATCCTCATAGGATGGATTAAAATTACGTGTAACAATCTATGATTTGTGATGTTGACATGGTATTAATGTTTTCAGCAGGTTAATATTCATTTTATGGCGTTAATTAAAATGCAACGTTACAATGCTCTCTGTCAAATGTATAACTTAACTTCGCACTATGTTTACTGAGAAACAGACATTGACCGCGACTTCGTCTCAGTCAATTTCGCTTTGTCGGGTCCACATAATTGCATCTTCACCTCAAAACAAAGTTTTTCATTGATAGATATTTGTACCAGCAACCATTAGAAAGTACAATCGGCGTCATTATACAAGGACAAAATGACAATACTCTAAGACTTAAACATCGATACAAAAACGCATAAAACACGGATATCCTCATAAACCCTTGTCAAAACATCAGCGGGAAAACTGCTGCTCTGAGAGCGCGAGTGTCTCCAGCACCACAAAGGACATCCGTCAACATATTTCACAGCTCCTCTAGAAAGACAAATGATGATCATTGTAATCAAAATCTCAACATCGAGGTAGAAATTATTTCAAAGACCACTCTAATGACAGTCGGTATTTCTTCGGGTACAGTCTAAGTTTCTGGGATGGAAAATATTAACTTGGATGTATAACAATCTTGACTGAGAAGTTTAGTTAGCGCAAACTAAAGCCTCTTAAAAGTCTATCATACAGAGAAGCCTGGATAGCCCCTCGTTTTGAATCATAATATTACATGTGTTGTTTTATCATCTGACAGGACAGTTTTATTATTGAGATTCATTTTTTGTAGAATTTTCTTCGATATAAACCCCTGTACGCTTTTGTGGATGTACTAAGTGTTTTAACGATGATATATTAAAAAAGGCTTCATTTAAACCTAAATTTTAAGATTTAAAGTCCTTTTGAATACATGTAACTATTTAGGGCTTGTTTGACTTTTTCGAATTCGGCATTCACGACGCGAGATAAGGTAACTATCAGATCCTCGAATATTGTATAATAAAGAAAAAAAAAATTAATGTTAAGGAATGTAGATTTTCAATAGCAAGTTTATAAGTGCATTATTGTCGCAATACCCAAACGCAGGGTTGACAAAAGGGCGTCAAATACATGAATCATTGTTATCGCGTGCAGATAATAGGTTATTTTGTCAATGGCTGCTATCAAGTCCTTGGATAGGAAATATTTTCAGAGAAGTGCGATGTAAAGACCTGCCTTGTTCCCGCGAGGGCAGGACACGAATTATCAGCCGGTATCACTAGAACAAACCGAGTAGAAATGGTTCACAGGAGATTCCCGAGTGAAGTATAATGCACTACTAGAATTACACATCTGTAGAGTTTGAAATAATGATAAAGATCTTCGGAATAAAAAACTTAATTTGAAAATTGACGTCTGCAGAAACAACCTTTTGCTCATCGCTATTAGTTTAATCACATTAACACTTTATTTTGACTTAAAAATACGTCAATCTAATTCCAGGAAGCCGTTTATGTAACATCGTATTTCAAAACAGTTGCTTCCTTAACTGATCTACAACGCCATCGAGTTTCTCCTTAAGCGCGAGTTGACGTTGATTGTCAGGATATCATTGGGATGTTTGAATTATCAGGGCGTAGTTCATTCATGTACATTCCCAACGGTTATTACGTTTCACATTGCAACCAATTGAAACAAATGTTAAAGTTGGCAATACCTCTGTTTCACATTTGATGTGGAATGATTAGTGTCGTCCTTAAAACGTCCATAATAAGACAGCTATGAATAATATTTAATTGGATTGTTGTTTCGATTTTGTATCTTCAGCGATCTCTATTTGTCATAAAAAAAAAAAAAAATAGAAAAAGAAAAAAACCTTAAGGAAAACAGAAAAATATATTTGGCTGCATCAATAAACAAGGACAAAACTCAACTTGTGTTAGAATCAAGCGAAATAAACAAATTGCATATCTTACAATTCAAAGGGCATATCAGCACAAATGTAACAAAATTATGCTACACAAAAAAAAACACACAAAAAGAGTCAACGATGTGCCCCGGAAGGGTAAGCGTGTAAGTGAGCAGATAACCTTTTAAAATGGACACATAGCATTAATGCAACAAATGTGTTGTTTCAAAAAACGATCGACATATATATAAGCTGTTAATGTAAATAATTCATAAAAAAAAATGTCCACTGAGATGATTATATTTGATTTCTACGTCAAGTGAAATGATACGCTTCGATTTCTATGACCAAATACTGAAATAATCACCAGAAATAAAAGGAGGTAACGGGCACCTATTTCAAACGCCAGTCAGACGATTCAAGCAATCAAACAGTTCAAATAGTGACAGGACAGAGTGCAGTAAATGTGTATTGATTGGATAATTCACGTTGAATCAGATGTAATTCTGTTATATCAGTAAACGTTTATATAACGGTATATGCTTGGGTTGATATATCGCACACGAGTAACGGGAAACATTCCCATTATACAAGTGCGTCATTGCCTCCCGCGGGACGGTATCAAATCAGATGAAAGGCCGAAAAATAAATCTGTTGGTCATCTGCTGTATTCCTGTGAGATTTCAAATAGACTTCACAGATCATGTGTTTTGTAATGAGTCTGATTAACAAATTTACTATTAAGGATGCCCGCACCACTGCCAAAAATGTTACAAAGCATTCGATTGTTCCGACTCGAAAATAGCTTTGATAAATCATATCAAAAGACGACACTCTATAACGGTACCTATATGAAAAACAAAATTAGGATTTGATAAATACATTACGGTACTTTTGGGGTAATGATATAAAAAAGAAAACATCAAAATCGTCAATGTTTTGAGTGTAACAACGCCATGGGATTGGACCAAGTTCTAGTGTCGCTATATAACCAACTGAGTAACGTCCCCTTTGTTAACTACAAAACACTTGGTCTGTCAAGCTTAAATTATATCCAAAACGAGATTAAGGGGAGGTTAATTTTTCTTTTTTTTAAAACTACAGTGGAATTCTTTAGTGTTTTGCCTGCGAGACAAGGATTTTTAAGCATTGATCATTTGTCCGGTATTTATCGACTTAAATTACTGATTAATACATGTTCATATCTCACCGAATTCTTCACGAGTAATTAATATATCAATTTTAAAAGTAAAAGTCATCAATATAATAACGACCATCTACTGGTGATGACGTAACCATATTGTTATGTAGGCGTTCAAGATGTTTTCATTTTGTATTTGTTGTCTTCTTTTTATCTTTATAATTCGATCTATTTTACACATTTTTTTGTAGTCTTGATACAATTATGTGTCATCATTGACACATGATACAAGATTTTTATTTAACGTCGCATTTTTAAAACCAAAATGGCCAAAATGATGAATTGTAAATGGTTTCAGTTACATTCTTAATGAAACTGAACAACTGGGTAACTGCTGTATGTGCTGTGTACCAGCCGCATGTAGTTAATAGGTACGATTAAAACACTGGATGTCAAATAAATGTTCAGGTTTGAAGCCTGCCTATGCATTGATTTTTTTTTTTTATTATTTATTTTTTTAATTGATATACATTACTGCATACTTTAAAACAGAATGAAATGTGATTTTTTAAATGTCTAATTGCCTTTAAAATGTTGCACTGAAAATTAAGTTTTATAGTTGATAGAAATTACTGCTTACGATCAAACAGAATGAAAAGTGATAATGTTTTAAAAAAAAATAAACGTATTGCCTATAAAATGTTGCACAGCAATACAATCCTTTATCACAGTAAAAAAAAGTCTGCTTACACAAGTTTAAATGAATTTACTATATGATTTTTATTAAAATGTATTTATATTTAATTCAATACTTATTTAGAACAGATAAATCTATGACATTCTCAGTGGCAGAATGTATAAAATTTGAGGTTATGGAACATGTAAGGCTCTGTGTGATCCGTTAACTAATCTTTTGTTGTTTGAGTGAAATGGAAAGTGACCTAGTCTACCTACCAATAGCACAGGTGATCTACCTACCAAACACACGGGTGATCTACCTACCAAACACACGGGTGATCTACCTACCAAACACACGCGTTAGCTGATTGTATTCTACACACGTGACCTACCTACCAATAACACAGGTGATCTACCTACCAAACACACGGGTTGGCTGATTGTATTTTGTTGATCTCTACAATACGTAAATATTACGTACTCCTACAAAAACTAGGCCTGTATTTCTTGTTCTCGTAAGAGTTACATTTAATTCATACGTCTGTCTGACTTTATAGATATCGGCGACAAAGTTAATTAAGAAATTTTTACTGTAACCATAATATCCACAATCATCTCTTTCGAGAAGTGGCACGTTTAATTGTTTGCACACTTTATCCATTAAAATTTTTAAATCAACCAGTACTCGTTTTATTTATTAAAATAATCATATAATTAAGGGATTTACGCACCTCCCCTTCAGTAGTTGAGATCAACATTGTTTTGCCCTTAGGAACACCGATGAGTCCTTGGAGACCGGAACAGATATGTGGTGCAGTGTAGTTCATGTGCGGTGTACTCTATCTAATACCTTGTTACATAGGTACACTTCAATAAGTGTGTTATGCGTTCATCTTTAAAGCTGTTTATATACCTATAATGTTTTCTGTTTTGACAGTGGGTGCTACCGATACAGCAGGCCATACTTGGAGTGGAGCTAATTCTTACACTTATCCTAAACGGAACTGTCATTCTGTTGATAATCAGGAAAGGAAAACGAAATAAGATGTCTTTCTTCGTCCTAAACTTGGCTATTTCAGGTGAGTGACTTCCTTTCCATAACACTCTGTAATGATGTCTCTCTTTGTCCTGGAATGAAAAAATGAATTAATAAAGCATCTATTTGAACTCAAAATCTGTAAAACTTTGGCAAAATATGAACAAGGAAAAATAAACATGGAGACCATTGTTAATTATAGAAACCAGGTGTTCCTGGAGGGTCAGCGTTTTCTGTGACATTACCATGATAATCTATATCTAACCAAAGTGATATCACGTCCTCAACGCGATAATCAGGGTAGTAATATCAAAATAACAAGGAACACTAATGCACAAGAATATGACAAATCCCTTGTATGTAGTAAGCTATTTTTATTGTTGGGTAACACACAGATTAAACTGTTGACCCTACAGCCGTTAAGATAACGACAAAAATGATTGTTACGGTCAAACATGTCACTCTTGTTACCAATCTCTATCCAGAGTGTTCGTTTATTACACTCACTTACAACGTGTAAGGAACGACAACTCTTATATCAAACATATAAAAAAAATGCTATTACCTAATCTTTGGTACTTTTTTTCCAGATTTCTCGATGGCAATCTTTTATATTTTACCTTTCTTCATTACGCGACTGGTGGGGCATTGGTATGCTGGCTATGGCCCGTGCAAGATGTACATGTACCTTAACCAACTGGCAATGTATTCCTCTACCTACATGTTAGTTGTGATGAGCGCAGACCGCGTGTACGCCATAGCCAAGCCTCTATCTGCCACACGACGAGGACTGACCTACCGCCGGTTACTGGTCGTGTCAGCCTGGGCAGTTGCCGCTTGTGTTGCTGTGAAGGACCTCCTTTATTCAGACTTGTTGGCGGGTGATAATGGTGTGAAACTTTGTGAAACGGTTTACCCGGAGTCCCTTGTAAGTTGAAGCAACATCCAGGTTTCAGTTATTAGTCAACAATAGTAAGATTAAGGTTAGTTATCCATGTAAATTATCAATAATCTTCTCCCTGTGTTGCCTATAGACATGTCTTTATATCACGTGATGCTCCCATTAGATGCAAATGAAGCGCCGGTTAGACATTTGTTTGTATTAGTATATTTGTATTACATGCATTAAAGTTTTTACTGCACCAATAGTAAATGTTTTGTAAGCGAATGATAAGAGGATGCAATACGACACACATATTGACGTAAATATAATATGGCGCCAAAGGTTTTGCTTCTACGTTAATCAATCCTCGTACATTTTTATCCAGTACCATTGTCGGTACTGTGCATACCTTTACATTTGACAATTATTTCTGTCTGAATCCGGTTGGGTTTCAGACATATTTTACTTGCATGGCAATATATACCGATATTGTTCACTCCTGCTGAGTACGTTATTAAAATAATAGGAGTTCTTGTGAAATATGTATGGTTTCAGACAAACCATGGAATTTCTCTATTTACCACCCTTCATACTGTCATCACGTTTATTTCTGTAGACAGAGCCCTTTAAAACACTTTAATCCATAACAATCGGAAACAAATATTTTGGATTTTCTCTCCGGTGATAAATCATCATTACACTGGGCGTTGTAATATAACCACTTAAATTTAATGTTAAGACAAAAAAGACAAAATTTAATGTAAGACAAAACCCATTTTCATCTCAGACCGTTATAATGTCAGTTTTATTTGCGAGGGTGGAGGGGGATGACTCTTTTTCTGTCTAGATGCTGTCAAAACTTGAGTACACACATTCGATCTTTTCACTTCTACAGACTATAGTACACACATTCGGTCTTTTCACTCCTACAAAGTAGAGTACACACATTCGGTCTTTTCACTCCTACAAAGTAGAGTATACACATTTGGTCTTTTCACTTCTACAGACTAGAGTACACACATTCGGTCTTTTCACTTCTACAGACTAGAGTACACACATTCGATCTTATCATTACTCCAGACTGGAGTACACACATTCGATCTTATCACTCCTCCAGACTGCAGTACACACATTCGATCTTTTCTCTTCTCCTGACTGGAGTACACACATTCGGTATTTTCACTCCTCCAGACTAGAGTACACACATTCGGTCTTTTCACTTCTACAGACTAGAGTACACACATTCGGTATTTTCACTCCTCCAGACTAGAGTACCCACATTCGATTTTATCGCTCTTCCAGACTCGAGTACACACATTCGGTATTTTCACTCCTCCAGACTAGAGTACACACATTCGATTTTATCGCTCTTCCAGACTCGAGTACACACATTCGGTATTTTCACTCCTCCAGACTAGAGTACACACATTCGGTCTTTTCACTCCTACAAAGTAGAGTATACACATTTGGTCTTTTCACTCCTCCAGACTAGAGTACACACATTCGATTTTATCGCTCTTCCAGACTCGAGTACACACATTCGAACTTTTTACTTCTACATACTGGAGTACACACATTCGATATAATCGCTCCTCCAGACTAGGGTACACACATTCGATATCATCGCTCCTCCAGACTAGGGTACACACATTCGATATCATCGCTCCTCCAGACTAGGGTACACACATTCAATATTATCGCTCCTCCAGACTAGGGTACACACATTCGATATCATCGCTCCTCCAGACTAGGGTACACACATTCGATATCATCGCTCCTTCAGACTAGGGTACACACATTCGATATTATCGCTCCTCCAGACTAGGGTAGACATATTCATTCTAATCGCACCTCCAGACAAGAGTACACACATTCGATCTATTTACTTCTACAGACTTAAGTACACTCATTTGGTCTTTCACCTCTACAGTCTTTAGAACACATATTCGATCTTTTCACTTCTCCAGACTAGATTACACACATTTAGTCTCTTCACTCCTACAGACTTTAGAACACATATTCGATCTTTTCACTCCTACAGACTAGATTACACACATTCGGTCTTTTCACTCCTACAGACTTTAGAATACATATTCGATCTTTTCACTCCTACAGACTAGATTACACATATTCGATCTTTTCACTCCTACAGACTAGAGTACACACATTTTGTCTTTTTACTTTTACAGACTTTAGTACACTCATTCGTATTTTCACTTATTTTACTTAACGGAACACAATTTGTCAGGATTGACACGTAACTTCTTTGGATAAAAATGTTATGTTGTTTTTTCTCTTTTCTTTGGAGAAGGCACTTTGTCACATTGGAAGCAATGACTACTTTAAAGACACATTTTTCAAGATAATACCTTTTGTCACTCAGGAGGCTGCGACTACCATAAGCACGTATTTTCCTTTTTTGTAGATTAAACCCTTTATCACGCTGGAGGCTGTAGTTAACGTGTTTTTCCCCGCCCTGATAGTAACAATCTGCTATGGCTGGATCGTGACTGTTGTTTCACGTAGAATTAAATACGCCATCAACGCAAAACAGCAAAAAGCAGGTAAGATGTCCACGATGTCAGATCCAATGTATGATATAGGGTTACAGTACCCTGATATTCATTGTAGTGAGATGATTTACCATCGGTAAGATGTTATGGCTAGGGCAGTATGTATGGTTGTGCAAGGTTAAGGTCCCCCCCCCCCCCCTTTTCAAAAAAAATAAATAAATAAAACTATCGAAATCTGCTAATATTGTATTGAATATGGCAATTTATCATATTCATTGATTAAACACATAAACACTCTGACACTTTAACTATAAAATACACATGCTCCTAGTCAGGAACCGTTACATTAGTGTATTTCACAATTGTTTTATGTTAAAAATTAATGAACATTTTTTTCGCATCGCTCCGCTCGCCGATAGATTTGATTCTACTTCCCCTCTTTCAAATATCCTAGAAACGCTCCTTTTAAGGTACAAGTAATACATATGATTATTAACAACGGATTGGTTGAGCTGTCGGAGCAAAAAAAGGAACATTACCGGTGTTCAAGTATTGCTGCTATAAAATCGATAAAGATTTGGTGTAAAATTACTAAATAGAAGCGCATATTGTGTCTAGAAACATATGCCTTGTTTAAAATAAATGTTATGATTAATAAACTATTAAATAAACAAAATTGTCCAATTTATAACAGGTTTAAATTAACTGTGGTTAACTTTCTCGAGCATTTCTCACTTACGAAAAGTCTCCTCCTGGAGAGATGTTATCCTAAAACACATACCAGGTCTGTAATCGACAATGCATCTTGTTTAAATGATTCTGAATATTAGCCCTTATTCAATTTTACAGCATGTGTACTGTGGTAGTTAGTAGACACTAGTTTGAATAAAGGCAAGTGTCTTATGTTGATATCATTAATGTAGATCTTACATAATGAATGATTTTTGTATCTCTAACTGTTGTGTGATGTTGTGTGTTTGGAAGGAAATGTATTTAGTACGTATATGCAAACTAAGTGTGTGTCTTGTTTAGGTTGATATGAAATGAAACTATTATGATTAAATATCTAGAAAAATGATACACGTGCTGCTTTTTCTATGAATTTCTATAAAAATATAAATTAAAAGTAATACTTTTAAATATCATTTATTTAATTCTGTATATTTATTTTTACTGATGGTTGAATTTGATTAAGTAGTTAACGTGTGTATATTTACGTTTTTACTTATGTTTGTGACTGCTTTTAAGGAGTTTATTAACAGTGCTTTGATAATCAACAATTTTTGTGTTCTTAACTTAAACTATCGTTTAGATAAGAGCATGTTTTGAAACTGGTCTTGTTTTCAATAACTTTTTGATAACATTTTAGCTAATTTTAAAACGGCAACTTATGACTAAATGTCCATGTGCACTAATTTCTCTTCATTTGGTAACATACATGTATACTAAGTTTTGTTTCTATATGCTGGTATATTTAAATATCATAATTACCCATAGATAAACTACTTCCTGTGAACGTCTGCTAGGTCAAATTACCCATAGATAAACTACTTCCTGTGAACGTCTGCTAGGTTAAATTACCCATAGATAAACTATTTCCTGTGAACATCTGCTAGGTTAAATTACCCATAGATAAACTACTTCCTGTGAACGTCTGCTAGGTTAAATTACCCATAGATAAACAACTTCTTGTGAACGTCTATTAGGTTAAATTACCCATAGATAAACTACTTCTTGTTAACGTCTACTAGGTTAAATTACCCATAGATAAACTACTTCCTGTGAACGTGAACATCTGCTAGGTTACATCACCCATAGATAAACTACTTCCTGTGAAAGTCTACTAGGTTAAATTACCCATAGATAAACTACTTCCTGTTAACGTCTACTAGGTTAAATTACCCATAGATAAACTACTTCCTGTGAACGCCTGCTAGGTTAAATTACCCATAGATTAACTACTTCCTGTGAACGTCCACTAGGTTAAATTACCCATAGATAAACTACTTCCTGTGAACGTGAACGTCTGCTAGATTAAATTACCCATAGATAAACTACTTCCTGTTAACGTCTACTAGGTTAAATTACCCATAGATAAACTACTTCCTGTGAACGTCTGCTAGGTTGAATTTCCCTATCGATAAACTATTTCTTGTGAACGTCTGCTAGGTTAAATTACACATAGATAAACTACTTCATGTGAACGTCTACTAGGTTAAATTACCCTTAGATAAACTGCTTCCTGTGAACGTCTACTAGGTTAAATTACCCATAGATAAACTATTTCTTGTGAACGTCTGCTAGGTTAAATTACACATAGATAAACTACTTCATGTGAGCGTCTACTAGGTTAAATTACCCTTAGATAAACTGCTTCCTGTGAACGTCTACTAGGTTAAATTACCCATAGATAAACTACTTCCTGTGAACGTCTTCTAGGTTAAATACGTACGTTATGTATGTCGTTGACATTTTTCGGAGTTCTGCGGTTTATTCTTTGAACTATTAGTACTTCAGTACATATCGCTCGCTACTGTAGATAGTAAATCATTCCGCTAACTCTCTATGCATAGTTCAATTTTTGTTTTTCATGCTACGGATATACCGTTGTATAAAGTTCGCAATAACGTCCGCGAAATAAAAGAATGTCGACACAGATGGAAAAACGTCCGAAAATATTTTTCAAAATACGGCAAATTGATAAAAAAAAATCTGTAAAATATATATTTCTGCATCGGCAAAATATAAATAATTTCTATCATCTTGGTACAAAATACTTTCCGCTTCTTCCTACCACCTCGGCTAGGGAGAATTTCTCTTTAGCTCATTCGGTAGACTAGTAACCAAGACGTCCTTGGTTGGATTCCTAGCCGAAGCATCGACAAAATAATGACCACTGTTACACGTCCGGGACCTTTATAATAATACGTCCGTGACATATCATACGATATGTGATAGGTGAGGTGATGCGTGTCTAATAAAAGTGTATATCCGAGCCGTATGAAACCACAGTTCTGCGGTCATCATATGTTCGTGATTTATTAAATCATCCGTCTACGACCTATCAAAATCACAAATCAGAGACACATAAAATCATAAGTCAGTTGGCTATGCAATTGTACGTCCGTAACAAATAAAATCATAACGGCGACCTATAAAACAATGTGTCCGCAACCTGTAATATGATATATATATATGTACATGTAGTGACCAATTAAATCATTCATCTGTGACTTATAGGAACGTCCTTCTGCGACTTATACAATTATCCTTCCTTCCTTCCTCGACCTTAAGTGTTAAATATGTTATAGTATACTAGCTTTTACTACAACACATTTACATCTTATCATCATTTTCTATTTCAGCGATCGACATGTTTTCGAAAAATATTCTTTCAGGTAACTCCTCTTTGTTTATTCTATATGAGACGCTTCTGGTATTTTTTAAGCATAGAGCATACACGTTTGCTCATTTGATTGACTGCCAACTTACAAGTACCGAACACCAGTTGTAAATAATGGCATACTTAAGAAGATCTCATTACAATGGTATTCATGAAAACAAAATGTGATTGTTTTCTGCCAACAGACCGGTATGATCATTTTTGTCCCTTATTTCTTTTTCATATTCTTTAAAGAATTTAGCCCATATTTGTTATTACACAATGACAAAATCCGTTAAGTCTCCAAGTTGATATAAAAGA